GTCACGCAGCTATGATAAGCTTCTGCCTCTTTCCCTCTCTCTTCTCCTCATAATTTCCAAAGAGTCAGTTGCTCCCCTGTTTGCAGGGTTGGGTAGAGTAGGTCAGCAGGTCAGCAGTGAGAAGGGAAAGTGTGAGTATCCCTATCCCTACTCATACACAGCCCTCAGAGCTTCTCTGTGCCTCCCCCGGGGTGGGCAGGGTACCCAGGAAGCCAGTAGCCCAGGGACAGCCTGGCTTCTTCACCCAGGTCTGTTACCTCTGCCCCAGTTCGCTCTCTTTCTCAAACTTGGGCCTCTGCATTTCACCAGCAGCTTTTTCCCTTGCACAAGTCTTTGTTTTCCTTCAGGATTTTTGCTACAGAGTAAAACGCTAATGTCCAACTGTGCCGTCTTATACCTTGACAGCTGGAGTCAATATATGGTCACAATTTTATTTCTGTATGGGAAGGAAAAAGACAGAGGCTGGATTTAACGCCCCCACACACAAAACCATGGGCATTGGATGAGTTTGCAGAAGCCCAGTAGAGCAGCAGGGGATTAAATTGGAGCTCCTTCACTACAAAGTTCAGCCTTAGGGAGGCCACCCACATGTGCTCCATCAGAAGCAAGAGTGATCCATTTTATAACCAAGGAGATGGAGTTCAGAGAGATGAAGCAGAGTCTGAACAATACAGACTGGAGAAGACCTGCTGGGCCCAGAGCCAGCCTGTCTACCCACCTTTCACTTGCCCTGCCCCTAAGGTAGTTCCCCTTCTGGGCAGAAACACTGGCCTTTTCACCCAGGATTCCTTCCTGCCTTGGACTTCCTGTCCTCTGTCCCAGATGGCCAAAATTCACATTCCCATCAGCCCTGTGTGTTCAGCCACATGCTGCCTGGATGAGATGAGAGCCCTGGTGTGACCCATAAAAAAGACAGTGACAACAGAGAACCCAGGGACAGAATGGTAAATGGCTCAAATCTCCTCATTGTTAAAAGCTGAAATTTACTGAGTGATTCCAAGTTGAGTGCTTCAAGTGCTTGGGGTACACATAATCCCAACTGGCCCACCGGGTGGGGTATAGAAATGAGGCCTCTACCACAGCCATGGACAGGCACTCCTAATCCAGAAGAGCTAGTGAGGAGCCATGTGGAGGCAGCTACAGCCCAAGAAATGGACCACTCCAGCTAACCCTTCAGAGCTAAAGTGTCCAACTTGTCCACAAGGTGACTTGGGCAGCAGAAAGGAGGGGCTGGACAACTGTGTTGCTTCAGACTCTGCATGTGAGACCATTTTCCTCAAATGCTGGTGAACACAAATTCTCTTCTCAACCCAAAGAAATTACAGACCTTTCACGACATTACAGTTGTGAGTGCTGTTTCTAAAAATAAAGCTGGGCTCCCGTTTATAGCTCACATATTATATGTCTCAGTGGCGCCCTGGCTGTTTTACATGCAAGCCGTGAGGGAGGGCTTGCCTGGGTGTTACCCTCCCTAGAGAGAACAACGAACCTCCGTGAAAGTCCCCAAAGGGCTAGGTCTGCAGCAGCAGAGGTGGGGCGGTCGGGACACAACTCCTGCAGATGCCCTAGGCTGCACAGGCAGGGGCTGTCTGCATTCTGGTGAGACCACCAGGATTGCACTCTCCTCATTAGAGCAGGGCCACCCACCCACATAGTCCACAGGGACAGAGGCTTCCTGAAAATGCCCAGGGACTTCTTTAACCAGATCCTTATGAGCCAGCAAAAACTTAGCTAACAATATCAACAGTAGTAATAATAAGGAAGAAAGAAGCATTGCTTAGTATGTGATACAAGCAGTATATAGTTATATCCCCATACGAGGTATGTTATTTAATTTAGTACTTACAACTCCCAGGCTCACCTGTGATCTGTGTGTGGCAGGTGAAGCAGATGAGGATGAGGTAAGTGGCCCCATTGTCATAGGGAGCATGAGATAGAGCTGGCAAGACTGAGTGACTCCAGAGTTCACCTGTGACCACCACAATGACGCTGGCGTGCAGGGGCGTCTAGCACTGCTCTGCACCTCTGTGCCCCATGCTTCTCACATTAAAGCAGAAATTTCCAGGCATCACAGTTCTCATACAAACTGCAAGACCTTTTCAGTATCTGCAATTAGACAAGGTTTGGACTTTCCCTGGAACCACCGTTCTCAGCATTTCTGTGGGGCTGGTTCTGTTGTTCTGGCTGCTGCACAGAACCATCTGAGCCTGAGGGCTGGTCAGAGCCATGGTCCTTGTTTGCTCTGGGAGGGGTTGCCCTCAAGGTCTCCTCAGTTCTCCTGGGACCACCTCACTGTTGCCCCTTCTGGCTTTCTGACGACACAGCGACTTCTGTATAAAGTTACTCCTTGCGTTGACTCCATTATTTCGGAGACAATTTCATGGGCACTGCCAGGATTACTTAGAGTCCCGTCCTTCCCTTAGGTTTGTATGTATATGTGGGAGAAAGGAAATGCCTTAGCTCATCAAGAATTCACCTTCTATTTGAGGAACAGCTCTGAAACCTTAAAGCCACGTCTAGACCCCTTGGTGAAAGACATTTCAGCTGACAGTTTCTGGCAAGCTAAGATACTCATCCTGGAAGCAGGATCTGAATTGTGACTTCTCAGACAGGGAAACCCTGCTGGGGACACATAATGGAAATGAAGTTCATCTTTATGTGGGGCTGGGAGGTAATCAGTAGCCATGAAATGGTCTCTTTTCCAGGAGAAAATACAATTAGGCAGGTCTTATTACATATGAATTTCTAAGAGTCCTTCAGCCCTCTCCCACTTTTTAAAATATATAAAAAAATAAGAGTTGTGCACACCTGGCAGCAGAGCCAGGAGAATCCACAGAATCTTAACACAGTCTAGTCCCTCGAAGGTCAACGCTGAGAAGGGCCAGGGGAATTGGGATTCCAATGGTATCTGCTGGGTGGTTTCCAAATTTCAACCTGCAAAGAGTTGACCTTGTGATGCCTTTGGGAATAAGAAAACACCCAAACCAGAAGAGGCGCCAGTTGTTGAATGCCTTTATTTCCATGAAAAAAAGAGAGATGTTCTGGGTATTCAAATGAGAGACTAGGACAGTCGTGGCAACTGACATGCCAAGCCTCCAAACCTGCCTGGTTTTCTTCACCCAGGGTCCACTCTTATGAGGGCCTCCACCTACAGATAGCTTCAGCCATCCCCTCTAAGAAGCAACTCACGTGCCCCATAAGCAACTGTACAGCTTTGAGTTTACACAACAAACTTCCATACTTTACCCCACGAACTTCTCTCAGGAGCACTGAGGGAATTGTGATGCCCTCACTGGGAATCAATGAAGATAGGAAATGATTCCAATGAGATGGGGAAACTCAAGTGTACATGAGAAATAATACTTTGATCTGAACTTCAGATGGCTGGCCTGCTACAGCACAGGAAATAAATTTGTGTGTGTGTGTGTGTGTGTGTGTGTGTGTGTGTGTGTGTGTGGTGTTGAAGACTGAACCCTAGGCCTCACACATGCTAGGCAAATGCTCTAACACTGAGCTATACCTGCAGCTCTGAAAGAAATTTTTTTTTGACAAAAGTTCCCACTACTACCACTTCTACTTCTGACTTAGTCAGATGTTTTATGTTTCTGAAAGCATGCATATTCTAATGTTTACAAGACTAGCTGATTTTAACTCTCCAGGATTCAGCCTTGAACTTCAAAAACTGGTGTTTTCATAATATAGCAGGAGGGGGATGGAAGGGATCAGCTTACATTTTATAAGGGTTTTTTTTTTTTTTTTTTTTGTGT